CCGAGAGACAAGCGTGAGAAGCGCCGAGAGAGCGCTGCATAGCGCAGGTGAGCTTGAAGCCGCATAGTTGAGTGAGAAGCGCAGAGAGAGACCCAGACATGCGGAAGCTAAGTGGAATTAATTTCCAAGACAAGTATCATCAATATTATACCAGCTATATATCTAAAATTAAACTATTTAACTATTATAAATTATAGTGACTCAATGCATCAATCTGTTTCATCTGACTAATTTAGATTCGACTGAAGATCACCTTCGGCAAGCGCCTCAGGTTTTACACTTCTTTAGCCAATTTCATTCATTTCGCTGGCCGTAAATCAGAGTTCGAGTTCATTCCGATTTCGTAATGTAATCGCCCAAGCAGCAATAAAAGCTTTCAAGTTCCATTCACAAAAAGCCGTTGACAATCGAAGAGCGACGCAGCGATGGCAATGGGTAATGGGCAATGGGAACTACGGACGGCAAGACGGCGATAAGCGCAACGATAAGGCAACAAATTTTCTGCATAGCTGAGCGAAAAACAAAATGAAATATGTCAGGCCGACAAGTGGAACTACAACTGGGAAAATGGGTTTCCCCCCACCCCTCGAATGAGGTGCGTGCGGGGGGGCAAGGCTAAGGTCTAGAATGCATAGAAAATTTCCATTGTCTGGAATGCGTTTCTGTCTGGCTGCCAGCCGAAAGGCAAACAACTCATGCTGATAGAAGTTAATGATACCCTGTACATTTGGGCAGCTTATAGACAAAGATTACAGCAATTTGAATATATAATTTCGTAGATACCCTTGAAACTTATATGAGAGTTCTTTAATGAAATCAGAAATGTAAAACAGCTCGACACATATCAACGCCCATTAACATATACGCAGGGTATACAGCACAACACTTTACTCTATAATTTGTTTTTGTTGTCGTTCGCTGATAAGAATTGGTTACCTTTGATTTGTGCTATGGTGAACCGGCGAAGTTAGAGCACTGGAACCGTGTGCTATCTATGGCTGACATGTTGAAAATATTTCGGTTTCTCACTGTTTTTCCATTTTAAGCATATACATACATACATATATATATATATATATATATATATATATATATAGATTTCTTTTCTTTTCTGTTTTCTGTTTTCGACTAGAACGTATGCGAATGAATGTGTTTGTTGGCTGATATCAATGTTGGCTGCCTTTTAATTGGGTCGTTAAATATGGTTTGTGTTTTTAGTTTTTATCATGTGACTTCTTCAAGGTGTTTTTTTTTGTTTTTTTTTTGGGAACAGCCGCCAACTAGGCGTATGCGATGATAATACGACCAATCAAGTGATCAAAACGGCACATCTCAATTGAAAACGGAATCGGAATCGGAACTGGAATTTGAAATTAGAGTCGGAGTCAAAAGTCAGATTCTTAACCCATTAAAGCGCAATCAGAAAATTTCACAATTAGATATGCGAGACAAGCGTTGACCTTCACAGCGGTTCAGGGGTTGCTTTGCTTAACACGTGTAACTATTGTCATGGACTCGAGTGTGCCCCTGTTTGTGTTTGTTTGTGTGTGAGTGTGAGTGTGTGAGTGTGTTGTTATTGAGGGTTGTTGCTGTTCGCTTCAGCCCCCGTTTCACTGATGGGTTTATTAATAATAGCACGCACTTATTAAAGGCACTTTTATAAGTGCAAGCGGACTCGATAAAGCAATGAACGCACCAAATGTTTGTTTCTCTGGGGTTAATGAGACATCTCAGAGAGCGAGAGAGAGAGTGGGATTTTGAGAGAGAGCCAGTGTGTGTGCTCGCTCTCTGCTGATCTTTCGCTTTGCATCTAACCAATATCCCTTGGGGGTTGTTTGTTATTATTATATTATACACATATATGTATATGTATATGCATGTATTTTTTTTTTGCGATTTGCAAATGGTTTTCCGCGTTTAGGTTTTGTTTTTCTGCTCTTCGTTCAATTGTATCGCATTTTTATTTCCCGTGTGAAAATTGCCAAAGGCTCGAACAGGAAGTCGGAAGGTAAAAACGGCTACTTTGTGCGTCCTTTTCGGTTCGTCTGCCCGTCTGGTGGTTGGTTTATGGGCTTTATGTATATTGTTGATGGGTTGTGATTTGGTTGCCTTGGTGGTTGATTGATGTGTCGCATAGTTTGCTGTATTTACTTTTTATCTTCCTCTTCCTTGCGTTTTTTTTCTTTTAATTTCTGTTATCGCTGGCGGGTGCTATCAGGGGGTGTTGTGCATGCGCCGCATTAACAGGGTGTTAATTGTTGTAAGAGAATTTGGCAAGATTTTAGAAGCTTACAATGGAGATCAATTTTTCAGTTCAGTTTTCACAGTCTTCAATAGAAATTATGCAATATTTCAAGTACATTTGAATTTGGTATTATCTGAAGAGTTTTCCAGTGCATTGCACTGAATTAGTTTCCAATGGGCTTTTAATAATCTCTGGTTCCTATCCCTTTCTAAATCTTGATAGTCAAACAGAAATTCTCAGTTAATTTTATTTTCATCAAGCTTTCAATGTTTTCTCTGATTAATTTATTATACTCAACTCTTCAGTTATTTAATTTAATATATACATACATACATATGTATATCATCTGCCGTCCATAAATTTTGTTGTTTAAATGTTCTACCACATTCCACATTTATTTTATATATTCCTTTCCAGTTTTTAATAATTGAGGAATATCCAATTTCTAGCTCATTAAATTCATTTTTTAAATTATAAAAAAAAAAGTAATAATAATCAATAAAATATATTTTTCAATTAATATTCTCTCGAATATTCCATTGTATTCCACGAGAATTTGTTTGTTAATTATTTTACCATTTAAACTAAATCAAATCTGTCAAATTTCTTTTTCTTTTGATTAATTGTAGGTACTGTAAATATTTTGTTTTTTTTTTCGGGTATTTTTCCGTAAGATTTCCAAGAACCTTCCATTGCATTCCAGTGAATGCGTCAAGTGATTTATTTCTGTGCTACTTTTCAGCGATTTTCTGGCTAAGCTGGCCATTTTCTGCTTGGCTCTCCAACTGTTTTCCATTTATTCTTTCTCTATTGGCTACCTGTGCGTGCAAATGGGTTAAGGTTCTGTCTTACCTGTGCCGGCCTTTGCCTGCACTTCCCAGCTACATATGTATAAGATCGCTATGTAAAGACCCTTACGATGATGAATTACATGCGTGTGAGAGTGTGTGTGTATATGAAATATGCGTGGCATGTGAGAAGAAAATAAAAGACGAAGACGAAGACGAAGACGAGGGCAGAAAAAACGGCAAACTAGCCACACAGAGAAAGGCGTAGGTAGGCGATTGGATATGGAAGTGGGTAAGAGAAATAGAAATAGAAACAAAGGCAGACCCAAAACGAGATGCGACGGAGACGGAGACGAGTTTGTAATGCTTCGACGAGTGACCTTTTTTGTTGTTGTTGCTGTTGTTTTGTTCACGAGCTCCCCCCGCCATGTTACAAAAGATACAATAAACCGAATTTGGGCAAAAACATTGCCGAGCTGCTGCTGCTGCTGCTGCTGCTGCTGCTGCTGCTGCTGCTGCTGCTGTTGTTGTTGTTGTTGCAAGGGCTGAGCGGAGCGGAGCTGCGCTGCGCTGAGCAGAGGCGGGCAGGCAAGCGGATCGTCGCGTCTTGGGAAAATTTTCTATCTTGGCAACTTTGTGTTGCCTTCTTTCTACGAAAATAGTTCAATGGAAAACTCTTAGAAAAAATGCTCAGCCCAACAACACCAACAACAACAACAACAGCAACAAAGCAACAGCAGTAGGTCGCTACAAATTGTGCACTCAATGGCAAATGTTTGCTAAGGCTGAAAGCGCGTGAGAGAGAGAGAGAGAGATAGCATGCACGTTGCCTTTGCCTGCTGGATGCGCTCTTTGGCGTACGTGCAAGCTGAGTTGTTGGTGTGCGTGTGTGTGTGTGTGTGCGTTTGAGTCAATTATGGGTCAGCTGTGCGTGAGTTTGAGAGCAATAGCAGCAGCAGGCGAAATGAAGAGAGGGAGAGTGGGCGAAGAGTGGGCAAAGCCACGAATAATTCCTGTCACACAGCTGATGTAAAGCTGCCGCACTCTCTCTCTCTCTCACATGTGTGTTTACCGTTTTGTTTTTTTGTTTGAGTGAAGGAAAAATCCATTGAATGCGAAAAACTCTTAAATGCTTTAAATATATACATATTGACAACTAATATAGATTACTTAATTTAGTTAATTTTTTGTATCACTTAAAGCTAATTTAAACTACAACAACTAAAGCAAAAAGTCACACAAAATTTACATAAAATATCTAAAAACAAAAGCACATTCCTTTCAAAGCACAACAATTAAATATATATTTTATTTAATTTTTTTTTTATCTATTCAACAAAAATTTGAGTAAATTTTGTTTTGTTTGTTTATTTTTTTTATTACTTATTATTTTGAGCAATATTTTTTATGCACTACGTGAATTTATTTTTAAGGTATTTATTTTTGGCAAATATACAATTAAAAGATAAAATGAAATATTCTTCAGTTATTTTTGTCTTTGCTCAGTTTTTTAAATATTTTTTTTTTTTATTTATTTTTGTTGTTTTAAATGGAATTTATTTTTAGACATTTTACCTAAGTTTTGCTTTATTGTGCGAATTGTTGTTGTTGTTGCTGCTGCTGCTGCACTTGTTGTTGCTGTGGCGGCAGAGGAGAGCAGCAGCGCAGCCAGCGATTGCTTTTGCCTGCTGCTGCTGCTTCTGTCGTAGTTGTTGTTGTTCTTGTTGCTATTGCTGTATGCGCTGAGCGGCTTATCAGCGTTAACTGTTAATGATTGAACTGTTTGTTGTTGCTGTTCTTATGCTCACTTTTGCTTTTTGTATTTGTTTTTGCTTTTCTTTCTTTGATTTAAATTTTGTTTTATGTTTTGATTCACTTTTCACTTGATTTCTGAGCCGTTCTTTGAGTGTTTTTATGCGTGGAGGCGTGGTCAAGGGGGGCGGATGGTGTTGTTGTTTTGATTGAACTTACTTTTTGGAATTGCGCTTCGTTGTTTGTTTGGAATACATGGGAATTTTGTCAACAATCAATTGCATGGCATCAAACAAATAACATGGACATCTAAGCACACTCGACACGGTGTGTTTCTTGTTTGTTTGTTGTTGTTTGTTTTCAACTGTTACTTTTTGTTGTTGTTTTTTTGTTTGCTTTGCTCAAAGGTTCAGCGACATTTTGGCAAAAGTTTTGTTGTTGTTGTTTTGTTTTCTTTTTATTTATTTTTAACTTTTTGTGCACTTTTTCTTTCACTTTTTTTTTTGATGATTTGATTATTAAAATCTGGTTTTTTGTTTTCAACTTTTGTTGTTGTTGTTGTTGTTGTTGTTTTTCTTGTTACGCTTTCACATTTCGTGCGTCTGTTTGTTGTTGTATCTTGAACTCTTTTTATAATTTTTTCTTTTTGGTTGCTAGCAAAATTTGTTGTTAACTTTTGTTGCTTGTTTGTTTTGCACTTGTTGCTTAATTTTATTCGAAACAAATTTGTTGTTGTTTGTTGCACTTGTTGCAAATAATTTGTTTCTTGTTGTTTGTTTGTGCTAGTTGTTTGTTTGTTTAATAATACTGTTGTTGTAGTAATCCAAGTTGTTGTTGTTGCTGCTGTAGTTGTTGGTTGTTGTTGTTGGCTGACTTGCAACAGGAACTTTTATATTTATTTAATTATTTCCTTTTTTTTTGAGCACTTAATCCAGAAATGTGCTTTTGTTTATTTGTTGTTCAATTTGTGTTTGTTCTAAAAGTTGTTTGTCACTTCTTTTTTTTTTTCAATATTCTCTTTAGTATTTTCAATAATAATATTTAATACACTTTTAAATACTACACAGTTGTTTAGTTGGGGAAAAAAACGTAATTCTTGTGTTTATTTTGCTTTTGAACGCTTTTTGACGTATTTTTCTCTTTTTAACTTTTTGCCGCGTTTGATGCTTGCGCGTATTTCAACCGAGCGACGACAACATTCGACGGCAGCCAGAAAGGAACTGAAGCTGGGCTGGCAACGCTGACCGTGGCACGACTCGAAACTGACTGAACGGGAAACTGGTGACTGCGATGGCCGCTGCTGCTGCTGTCGCCGCTGCTCGCTGTTCGGTGTTCGCTGCTGCTGTTCGTTGTTCGCTGTCGCTGCTGCTATGGCGGCGCTACCTTCGCACCCACACACACACACTCCTGCATAGCCAGAGACGCTTGCAGCGCCCGAGAGAGCGAACATGTTTGCGAGCATTTGCGCGTGGTACAGTTGACGGCTCTCTCTCGGGTTTTGCTATCTCTCTTGCTCGCTCGCTCGCGCGCGCTTGATTTATTTCAGGTCGCTGTGTTTGGTATTCATTTGACTGTTAAGGGGCGACGACGCGCGAGCACTTAAGTAAAATAATAATTATACGTATGTCAATTTGTTTGACTTCTTTGCGTGCGTTTATTGCTACGTTTAGCGTAAAAGCGCAAAGCGTAGTAGAATCTACTACTTTTTTTTGTGCTTTGACATTTATTGGGTTTGTTTTGAAAGCCTCTGCGAGTGTGTTTATGATTGTATCTGTGTGAGCACGCTACTATCCGTCTATATGCATGACTGTTTATGAGCGTGTGTGTGTGGGTAGCGTTAAGTAGATTTTTCAGCACATTTGTCTTAATTGTTGTGATTTGTGGTTGATATTTGAATGATTTACGGCAGCCAGGGGCGCAATTTTTGGCGACACTCGATAGGCGGCTTATATATGCAAATTGAGTGTTGGCTGTGCATTATTTAAATGCAAATGAATTGTTTCTTAAACGTTGACATTATACTTAGTAATTGAGCTTTTATAGCTTTTATTTGTATTCGCAAATTAAATTAACAAATTTAGTACATAAATATATAGAGATATTTGTGAGTAAACAAACCATCTGCTTAACTACACATGCACACTCATTCAGATACACTCACTCGCCCAATCGTTTCGTCGAGTGGCCGCAAAATTGAAATACTTTAATTACCCGAATAAAAAAACATTTAACAATTTAATCTGAGCATATCAATTGCCGCACACAACACTTCACACACACACACACATGCATACATACATAAGCATGTGCACACTCTCTCTCACTCACAGTTACTCTCATTTCACGCGCTCACGCTCACGTCGCGCTCTCAGCAACGTCGAATCATGCCCAAAATCCACTCCCAATTTATCACTCAATTAGCACAGAAAAATGTAGTAGTGTATTTACTACACTTCTCGCATACACACACATACACGCTGACGGAGAGCAACAGCAGCTGCACAGCGTGAGAAATTCACTGCGAATTAAATGCATACCCAAGCAGCCGAGCTCGGCTACTGCTCGGCTTCGGCAACGGCTTTCGGCTCAGCTCATGCCTTCGGCTTCGGCGTAGCCGTATCGGGTGTTCATCTCAATGAAATTGTAGCATATTTGTTGCCATATCGAGATTAAATTTTCAAAACACAAACGAGCGCAGCGCCGCTGTTGGAGGTGGCAAACAGACAGAGAAAGAGAGAGAGAGTGAGAGCGAGAGAGATAGAGAGTGCGAACAAGTGAGTGTGCGAGAAAGGGAGGCAAACAGAAAGAGAGCGAACGAGCGCTGTATATTTGTGTGCGTTGCTTGTAAGCTTTTGTGTGCTGTGTTGACTGGCTGGGTGGGTGGCTGGGTGGATTGTTGGGTCGTTCGCTTGGTTGGCCGTGCGATTTATTGATGACGTCGACGACGACGTCGCTGCCGCTGGCAGTGTTAATGTGTTTGTTGCTTTGGCATAAAATTATGTTTTATTTTATTTAACATGGTGTTTTTTTTTTCTCCGTTTACTTTTTGCTCTCTGCTGCTGCTCAGCGTCGATTTTTGGCAGTCCTTGTCATAATTTCAATGCGAGAAGGAAACGCAGCCCGTCCTGGCGCAGGAAGTCTTCGTGAGAGCCAGCAGCAACAACAATAACAGCAACAAAGACGACAACAACAATAAACGTCGACAGTTGTGCGATGATGGCAGCTTCATTGGGTTATGCTTATGCCTCTGCCCGCCTGCCACTGTGTGTGTGCGTGCGTGCCCATGGTTGTGTGTATGTGTGTAAAAGGAAGTGTATTGCGTTGTAGGCCGTCGTCGGCCTTATGCACGTGTGCGGGCGAGGGAGGTTCGAGTATCTGTATCCGTATCTGTGTAAATGTGATGTTGTTGCTGTTGCTGTTATTGCTGCTGCTGCTGCTGCTGCTGCTGGTTGTTGGCCTGTTCGGTCGCCCCTCTGTCATTGTGTATGTGTCATGGGCTGCTTATGCGTTGTGCGCTGTGTTGTTCCTGTTGTGCCTTCCTGTCACTGTGACTGCGAGCTGAGCCGAGCCGATTCACATACAGGGTGCATAGGACGGTCCACAAGCAGAGAACAGATGGAAATTTTACAGGGTGGGAGCATGCCGGGTGGAAAGATTAACAGCGCTCAAAATGCTTCATATATATAGGGTACTTCTCAAATAAGTCACATGTAAAAGTGTACAGGGGATTCCGAAATTCACGCAGAATAATTAATATTCATTTTTTTAAATTTGACTTTAATTATTTAGTGATTTTTTTAATTTGGTAAATATTTAAAGAAATATTATCATAATTAATTTATTATTACTAACTGTTAATCAAATGTTGAGGTCACGTACTGCATCACCCTGTATATTAAACGCGGCTGTAAAAACAATTTAATGCATAAAACGACAAAAATCTGGTTTTCACAAAACCAAACCCAGAGCCAACAACAAGCGACGAAAGCGTTAAAGAAGGAGGCAATGGGTGGGTGAGGAGGAAGAGAGTGGGCGGCGTAGGAGAGGAAGAAGTTGCTGCTGTCGCTGCTGCTGCTGCTGCTGCTGCTGGAAGAACACTCACAGGCCAAGCAATGACAGTAACAGCAACAACAACAGCAACTGTTGAGATTACACTAAAAGTAACTGCCAGCAGCACCAGCAGCAGCAACAACAAACAACTGCAGCAGCCGCAGCAGCAGCACTGAGAGAGCGCAGCACTAAAATCAATTATGTAGCAAGAGCGCCAACAACAACTACAACTACAATTGCAGTTGGTAGCAGCAGCGTGAAAATAGTAGTGAACGAGAAAAAAATGGCAAAGTAAAATGAAAAAGCAGACAACGTTAGCGTTAACGCTGACGCTGACGATGAAGCTAGCGCTGGCAGAGGTAACAGCAGCAGGCGCAGGGTGGTGGGTGGCAATGCCAGTCAGAGAGTCAGACAGTCAGTCGACCAGCCAGCCTGACGCTCTCTACGTCGCGTCGGTCAGTCACAAATATGTTGCGCATTTTTGCCTCGGCTAAGTGAGAGAGCATGGGGGGACAGAGAGTAATAGAGAGAGAGAGAGAGAGAGCGAGCGAGTGAGTGAGTGCTGCTGTGTAACTGTTGTTTTTATTGCTGCGCTGTGCTGTGCTGTGATGTGGGGTGGTGGACTGGATAGTAAAATGCGTAAGCAGCGTGAAGAGAGATGCCAGCGGCAACGGCAGCAGCAGCAGCAGCAGCAGCAGTAAACGATGAACTTTGCTTGACGATGCGACGATGCTTGTTGTTCTTGTTGCCGTTCGTTTGTTGGTAGGTTTGAGGCAAACACCTTTCCACGTGCAAGTCGAGAGCTTCGCTGTTGCTGCTGCTGCTGCTGCTGCTGCTACCGCTGTCGACGTCAGCGTCGCTGCCGCCTCGCAGATGTTTGGCAAAATAATCAGCGAGCGACGTTGGAGAAAAGAGCGTGCAAAAAATTATGCTGAGTGCTTTGGCTGCCTGCCCATACAAAGTGAAAGAAGCAGCACACTCTGTAAGTGTATAAGTGTATGAGTATGTGTGTGTGTGAGTGTGTGCAGCATAACACAAAAAAAAAGGCAGCAACAGAAGAAAATCAACGAGCAGCAGCAACAGCAGCGGGCGACGCGACGCGACGCGACGTTGCCAACGTTCGGTGGTTCGATGTTCGATGTTCGCTCAGTTTCAGTTACAGGGGCAGCGATGTCGACTGTGGCGTCGGCAGATACTTTGAGATTTTTTCTTTTGTGCGCTTTATTTTGTACTTTTTGTACGTTTCGTGTTGTTGCTTTCATACATTTTATCAGTCGAGGCGAAGTCGGCGTTGACGTCGACGTAGCTAGCTGCCTGACGATTTTCTTGACGTTGTTGTTGTTGTTGCTGTTGTTGTTTTTA